GGATTGTCAAAAGCTCTGTTGAACAAATTCAGGTTACTGATAAAGTGATTTTTCCTTTTTGCTCCTACTCATTCAACAATTTGAACCATTAGGCTCCAAGTAACAGCATCCACTGGCTCCCCTGCTCTTTACCAAGCAACAATACTGAGCACCAACCTGCCTAGGGCATCTGCTGCAGAGGATAACACATCAAAGGAACAGTGCCTCAAGACATAAGAACGGCCACCAGGTGGCAGCCTTAAACAATTCTCACTGAAGCCCTTTCCCTTTCAGCCCACAGCCCAGTAGAGTGGGCTTTAAGTGCTGCTGGGGGAGAAGTCCCAACATCATATACAGAATACAGGACTTTGACCATCTAGCTAGAGCAGATCTGGAAGCTTTGAAACTTTTTGGAGACACTTTCAGACCCCAAATAAGGAGCTAAAATCTGAATGAATTCCATGTAAATGAGACTTAAGGGTTTTGACCCTCTCCAAACTGTGCCAAAAGTCCTTCTGTAAGAAACGAACCAAAGCTTATAAGTCAATTTCCTGACTGATATGAAAGAAAGACCTTAACTTGAGCACAATCCCTGGAACTCTTCCTGAGAACTGCTTTATCCTTGTGGAAGACATGAAGCAGTTATTTACTGGAGTGGACAGATCTCTCTCCAATATGCTTGAACAAAGGAAAAATTGCCAAAGCAAAGCTGTATTAGAAAAACGAAGTGTAGGGGGAGAGTGGTCATAGACTCAAAAGGGAGGAACAAGGAGACTTAAAACATTAGTACTCTAGAGTAGACTATGGAGGGACTGCAGGGTGAAAATGGTTTCAGATGGATAGAGCCTAAATAAATCATGTGATACGGGAATAAAAGACTGCTATAAACCCTTCTACTTTCCTTCCTGTTGCCCTGAGAACAAGAATTTGACGTTAGAAGACTCAAGCTGACAACCCAAAATGCAACTCTAACTCAATCTTACAGGTCTTTCAAGCAAATGGGCCCATGTTTAGAGAAATGTATTTGTCCAAACAGCACAGAGAGCTGCCTACACCCTTTACAGGCTGTGAAGAAAACTGGATGTCTACTAGACACTAGTCATCCCAGGGAGAAAAATCTGATAATTCTGTATCACAAAGGACGTGCCACTTAGTCTCCAAAATGCTAAGGAAATATTTTTTTGGTGCATGGTCGGGGACGGAAAGAATTCGGAGGCAGAAGGAATGGGACAACTAGACAGATGATTTTAAGCTTCTGGTTAGGAGCAGGAAGTTGGAACATCAAGTCTCCCAAAGTCACATTGGAGTGGTAAGTTTAACAAATATTCCATCTTTGGAAAGGGCAGAAATCCGTATTTCAAGCTCCCTGCCCATCTCATATAGGCAGCATCCACTGCATGCACCCGTGGCTTCCTGAACCTGCTAAACAATTTGGTAACTTTCTAATTTACTCGAGTGGCAAAAGAATCTACTTCTGGCATCCCGCAGTATTTTCTATTTCTTAGCAACACTGGGACAGCTTCTATTCATCAGAGTTAGTTCTGGTCAGCCTGGGATGTTGAATGCCAGGTGAACAGTTTTGGTGTCTATTTTAGGGTTATATAGCAGCACCCATCACATAAGTATCTGAGCATTTCACAGGTTAATTAGATTGGCATGACAAGATCATTAGTGGATTTCATGCAATCTTCAGCTGTCTTCTGGTTATGGGAAGCCCTGCTTGGGGTAGAGAAAAAGATACTGCTCTACCCACATGGCAGGAGAAGAACATGGATCATCCAGGGGAATACCAGGCTGTGAGAATCCTCTCACCACCATAAGGACTCCTTGGGCTGGACAGAATGTGTCAGGGGATGGAACTGCACTGAGCCCAATGGGGGATGAATGAGTGAGGAAAAAATGGTCTGGACGGTATCTTGCTCATGGGACCAGTTTGAGTAACAGTAACTTTAGCCCATCCCACACAGTGGGATGAGAGAACATCTTGAAGACCTGTGGCCTTGAAAATCACCTTTATGTGGTCTTGACTGGGCAACCTTGCTTTCTGCTATGCTAATGGCAGCTTCCAGGTGGGAATTACATCAAGAAGGAGCTAGAGAACTTTCTTCCATGTTTGTCACAAATTCCAGGTTAGAAAAAGATCCAAATGACCTGGGCCACTGCATCTCAACTGGATGCACTGTAGGGAATCACTTGGATTTTGCTTTTGCTAATACTTTTAGGGTCTTTGTGAGTAATCTCAGTGCTAGGGTATCAAGCCTTGCTGTAACAGGATGTAACAGACCCTTCTGCCTTCAAGGAGAAAGGATTCCAAGCCTCAGACTTCTTCATTTGGATTCAAAGAAAAGCAAGAGAGGCCATCACAGCTGCACCACCATGAGCCTTTCACTGAAAAAATTCTGGCTCAGACACAAATGCAGCATTTTTTGCTTGCCTAGCTGGTTGACTGACTCATAAGGAGTTGCAGGTGTCTGTGGGGAGCTTAGGCACAAGATGAATATAAGAATGTGGGAACCAGCTGCCTGTAGAGGTATGCAAATGGGCAGGTAGGAAGAAAAATTCTTAAGAGCAACCAATCACTGTCTTCCAAAATTGACCGAAGTGAAACTCCTTAGTCCACACTGTCAGCTGTGCAGGAACAGAAAGCACCAAACAGAATTTTACCAACCTAGAAAAATAAAACCTTTACAATGAGAATTAAGCTTAAGTAATTTGAGTCAGAGATTTTTTTTCCAGAACTGTAAGCACCAGAATGAATTTCTCTCTCCCTTCAGTCAAACATAAGGCTCTACGATGTTTGCAGATCCCCTCTTCTGAATATCAAATCACTCTACACTTTGTGCAGCCATATCTAGCTAAGCAAAGATAGTACAGATCAGTACTTGGATAGGAGATTCTGTAGGTGATATTCTCCCTCTTCCTCCAGTACAGAGCCAACAGCCCAAGCAATTATAAGCTTTTCATAAATCCAGATTTCCTGGCAAATTCCAATTTGTATACTACAATTCTGTCCCCTGTTCCTCCTTCAGTTTCCAGTGGATAAACTCTTCTTTTTAGCATTCTGTCCTGAACTAGCATCAAGTTGGGTTGTAGTGAGCTGTTCAACAGCTTCTGCCTTCAGGGGTTGCATTTTAGTGGTGGGTGAAGCAATTCCCTGTTTAGTTTGCCAAGCACTGTGAGAAACCTTGAGATAACTCACTTCACACAGTGCTGAAATGCAGCCAGTTCGAAGGCAGAGTAGCTACCTCATATAGTGATTTTCATGAGTAGATCTCAAAGCACGTTACAAAGGAGGTTGGTATCATTATCTCCCTTTTACAAATAGAGAAACTGAGGTACAGGGCAGTGAAGTGACTTGCTCAAGGTCACCCAGCAAGCCAGGAATGGAATCCAAGTCTCCTATATCCCAGTGCTGTAGATTCTAGACCACACTGCCTCTCTAGAAGAAGACAGTAGCTGTTTAACAGAGCACAGCAAACCTAGATAAAAGTTTAAGATAAGAAATAAGGAAGATGTTATGCATTAAAACTCCACAAAGAACTCAGGGAGCTGGGACATCGAGACCAGAAATGGCAGTGCTCCAGGACACAGGGCTCAAGCAAAGAGAGCCCGGGAGCTTTTAATACCCACAAGCGAGGCAGAGACTGAGTTTTATTCATGCCTTGCACCCTAACGCTCTGTGTTGACAGAGATCAGCACCCCTACACACCCACAGTCTTGCAACACTCCCTGCAGCACACAGGGGTCAGAGCCCCTGCTGAGCACACCTCAGCACAGCGCCCCCTAGCAGAGCATTGGGACAAAAAACTTAATTGGCATCAAGACTGACCTGATAAACTTATTGAGGGGATGGTACGATGAGACTGCCTACAATGGCATATAGCCAATTTGTAACTGCTAGCAGTAAATATTGCCAATAGCTGGAGATGGGACACTAGATGGGGAGGGCTCTGACTACTCCAGAGAATTCTTTCCCAGGTGTCTGGCTGGTGGGTCTTGCCCACATGCTCAGGGTCTCTCAGAGGTCCCCAGTGAGTGGAGTGCTTCCCCTAGGAGGGCACCGGGGAACGTTGCAGGGGTTTGTAGCAGGGCCAGCCCAGCCCTCACAGGGGGAAGGAAGGGACTGCCACACAGCCCCTTCCCACCCACAGCTCCGCTCCCAGCCCGGGTAGAGGCTGGCAGCAGAGTTGCACCCGGCCCCCACCGCAGCCCAGCTGTGGCTCCACTCCTGCCTTGGTCCAGCCCAAGATCCACCCCAGCTGTGGCCCCCTTACCCCACCCCTGCTGGGGGGGAGGGGAGGGACCACCAGAAGCTTAGGGACCACTAGTCTGATTGACATATTTGGGGTTGTGAAGGAATTTTCCCCCAGGTCAGATTGGCAGCGACCCTGGGGCTTTCTCGCCTCTCTCTGCAGCATGGCGCACAGATCTCTCGCAGCTTTAAACTAGTGTCAATGGTGAATTCTCTGTCACTTGAGGTCTTTAAACCACAATTTGAGGCCTTCAGTCACTCAGCCGCAGGTGAGGGGCCGATTACAGGAGTGGGTGGGCGAGGTGCTGTGGCCTGCGCTGTGCAGATCGGACGAGACAGACCTTCTGCCCTTACAGGCTGAGCGGGCGCTGACCACGGCCCCGCGCGGGGGTTCCCTGTCGGAGGGAGAGGGCCGGGTCCCCCATCCCAGCCCTGACCGGGGCAGGCCCTGCTTAGCTTGACAGCCTGCTCGGATCACCGGCTCCTGGTGCCCAAGGAAACTACCGCTCCCAGCATGCACCGCGCCGCTTTGCATGCTGGGAGCTGCCTGCTCGGGACCCGCGGGGAGCCCGGGGCCGCGCTGGGGACCCGGCCGGCTGGAGCGCGCGGGCCTTCCCTCCTCGCCGGGCCCCGGCTCGCCGGGCCCGCCTCCTCGGCCCGCCCCGGACAGCCCGGTACCTGTTTGCCTTCTTGCGGCGCTGGCTGCGCGGGCGGCAGCGCCTGCACCGGACCGGCCGGCATGGTGCCGCCTCAGCAGCCCGCGGCAGCCTGTGCTTGTCCTGGGGCGGCAAGGGCCGAGCCGCTCCGTGACCGACACCGCCGCGCACAAAATGGCGGCGACCCCCGCGGGCTGCGCGCGCAGCGCGGTCGGGCTCGCTGACGTCGAAAACATAGGCCGGGCCAGGAAGCAGGCTGTGGAGGCTGCGCGGGTAGCCCAGTTGGAATGTTCTACTCTGGGGACGGAGAGAGGGGTGCCCGCAGCCCAGCGATACCAGTCGGGGTTGGTACAGTCGGAAATGATGCGCGCGCAACTCATCGGGCTCCTGTCACCGGGGGGGGGGGGAATAGGGCTTGTTCCCAGCAGGACGGCGGAGTGTACTTCAGAGGGAGCGAGGGGGGTGGACTCGGAATGTTCCACGGAGGGAACCAGGGGGGTACTCTGGTGACGGTGTCTTGTGGGGGAAGGCGCTGGGAGCGCTCCTGACCTTCCAGTGGCCAGGTGTACCTGGCTGTCTGCACCTGTAAGGTCCAGCCGCGCATCTGGAGCGGGGGGGCTTTACCCACCAGAGCCGATGCCCAAATCAATCGGTTCGTTCAAGGTGCCGCCGGCCTCCTCGCCGAGTCTGTGGGCACAGACGGGCACGGCTACCCCCCGAAGGGGGCCGATGGTTCGCTCCGCACAGCGGAGGGGTGGGGCCTGTGCGGTTGCCGTGGTAGCGGGCAGCGACGAAGGCGGTAACGGAGGCCGCCCGGGGGCAGGTGGGTTCGCTCCCCGGGCCTCCCCTCCCCGGGCCCTGTGTCCGCGGGTCCCGGCCCGGCTCCCAGCCAAGCTCTCCGCCAGGCTGGGGCATGGGCTGTTTGCCCGGGCCGCGCGTCGGGCGGCGCTTCGCGAGCCGGGTCTCTGGGGTCCGCGCGACTGGCGCGGGCGGGCGCTGGAAGAATACCGGCCTCGGGGCTCCGCGGGGCGGCGGGGCGGGGCGGGGCGCGGGGGGCGGCGGGCAGTCGTGTCCGCAGCGCGCCTCGGGGCGCTTGGCTGGAAGCGGCCGGGCGCAGGCGGGGGTGACCCGGGTTTCCCGCCCGCCCGCCCGCCGTGCGCGCTGCGCGGGGCTGCCGCGTCCAGAGCGGGTCCAGGCCGGCGAGGGAATAGCTGAGGCGGAGCAGGTGGGTGGTGCCGTGTCTGCAGTTCATCAGTCCGTGTCCGGGCTGCCTGGGGCTCTGGGGACGGAAGGGCAGCCAGTGATCCTTGTCTCTGACCCAGGTATGCATGCCACTGCTGCCTCCCGGGTGGACTCAGAACTGCTTGCCCGATTGCCAGCCTGATTGCCTTCCGTGACGAGATCACTGGCTCTGTGGATATGGGGACAGTGGTGGATGTGATATATCTTGACTTCAGCAAAGCTTCTGATAGGGTCTCCCACAGTATTCCTGCCAGGAAGTTACAAAAGTATGGGCTGGATGAATGGACTGTGAGGTGGGTAGAAAGTTGGCTAGATTGTCGGGCTCAACGGGTAGTTATCAATGGCTCCGTGTCTAGTTGGCAGCCGGTATCAAGTGGAGTGCCCCAAGGGTCAGTCCTGGGGCCGGTTTTGTTCAATATCTTCATAAATGATCTGGAGGATGGTGTGGATTGCACTCTCAGCAAGTTTGCGGATGATACTAAACTGGGAGGAGTGGTAGATACGCTGGAGGGGAGGGATAGGATACAGAGGGACCTAGACAAATTAGAGGATTGGGCCAAAAGAAATCTGATGAGGTTCAATAAGCATAAGTGCAGGGTCCTGCACTTAGGACGGAAGAACCCAATGCACAGCTACAGACTAGGGACCGAATGGCTAGGCAGCAGTTCTGCGGAAAAGGACCTAGGGGTGACAGTGGACGAGAAGCTGGATATGAGTCAGCAGTGTGCCCTTGTTGCCAAGAAGGCCAATGGCATTTTGGGATGTATAAGTAGGGGCATAGCGAGCAGATCGAGGGACGTGATCGTTCCCCTCTATTCGACATTGGTGAGGCCTCATCTGGAGTACTGTGTCCAGTTTTGGGCCCCACACTTCAAGAAGGATGTGGACAAATTGGAGAGAGTCCAGCGAAGGGCAACGAAAATGATTAGGGGTCTGGAACACATGAGTTATGAGGAGAGGCTGAGGGAGCTGGGATTGTTTAGCCTGCAGAAGAGAAGAATGAGGGGGGATTTGATAGCTGCTTTCAACTACCTGAAAGGGGGTTCCAAAGAGGATGGCTCTAGACTGTTGTCAATGGTATCAGATGACAGAACGAGGAGTAATGGTCTCAAGCTGCAGTGGGGGAGGTTTAGATTGGATATTAGGAAAAACTTTTTCACTAAGAGGGTGGTGAAACACTGGAATGCGTTACCTAGGGAGGTGGTAGAATCTCCTTCCTTAGAGGTTTTTAAGGTCAGGCTTGACAAAGCCCTGGCTGGGATGATTTAACTGGGAATTGGTCCTGCTTCGAGCAGGGGGTTGGACTAGATGACCTTCTGGGGTCCCTTCCAACCCTTATATTCTATGATTCTATGAAATGATCTGGAGGATGGGATTAATTGCACCCTCAGCAAGTTCACAGATGACACTAAACTGGGGGGAGAGGTACATACACTGGAGGGTAGGGATAGGGTCCAGAGTGGCCTAGACCAGTGGTTCTCAAAGCCAGCCTGCTGCTTGTTCAGGGAAAGCCCCTGGTGGGCCGGACTGGGCCAAGGGACGTGCTGGCCACCCTTCCCGCAGCCCCCATTGGCCTGGAGCGGGGAACTGCGGCCAGTGGGAGCCGCGATTGGCCGAGCCTGCAGACGCGGCAGGTAAACAAACCGGTCTGGCCCGCCAGGGGCTGAACAAGCGGTGGACCGGCTTTCAGAACCACTGACCTAGACAAATTGGAGGATTGGGCCAAAAGAAATCTGATGTGGTTCAACAAGGACAAGTGCAGAGTCCTGCACTTAGGACGGAAGAATCCCATGCACCAGTACTGGCTGGGGACCAACCGGCTAAGCAGCAGTTCTGCAGAAAAGGTCCTGGGGATTACAATGGACGAGAAGCTGGATATGAGTCAACAGTGTGCCCTTGTTGCCAAGAAGGCCAACGGCATATTGGTCTGTATTAGTAGGAGCATTGCCAGCAGATCAAGGGAAGTGATTATTCCCCTCTATTCGGCACTGGTGAGGCCACATCTGGAGTATTGCGTCCAGTTTTGGTCCCCCCACTACAGAAGGATGTGGACAAATTAGAGAGAGTCCAGCAGAGGGCAACGGAAATGATTAGGGGGCTGGGGCACATGACTTATGAGGACAGGCTGAGGGAACTGGGGTTATTTAGTCTGCAGAAGAGAAGAGTGAGGGGGGATTTGTTAGCAGCCTTCAACTACCTGAAGAGGGGTTCCAAAGAGGATGGAGCTAGACTATTCTCAGTGGTAGCAGATGACAGAACAAGGAGCAATGGTCTCAAGTTGCAGTGTGGGAGGTCTAGGTTGGATATTAGGAAACACTATTTCATTAGGAGGGTGGTGAAGAACTGGAATCGGTTACCTAGGGAGGTAGTGGAATCTCCATCCTTAGAGGTTTTTAAGGCCCAGCTTGAGAAAGCCCTGGCTGGGATGATTTAGTTGGGGATTGGTCCTGTTTTGAGCAGGGGATTGGACTAGATGACCTCCTGAGGTCTCTTCCAACCCTAATATTCTATGATTCTACGTTCACCTATGTGTGATGCCTGGCACCTTGCTCTCTCCTGTTCTCTGCCTCTGGTAGGTTAGGCTCCTGAGGACTGAAATACTTTTTTCCAACTAGAGTCTTTGGTCTCAATAGAGGGGTAACTGGGTGAACTTTAATAGCGTGTGGTATTCTAGAGGTCAGACTAGGTCTAATGGTCTCCTCTGGCCTTAAATTCTATGGGACTAGTATCAGAGGCTCTATGCAACTAACAGCTAAAGGGTATTCTGCGATTTGGAACAAGAGGAGATGAGTTTTATTCGTGGTGTTGTTGTGAAGTTCCAGTGGCACAACATGCGGTATAATGACGGCTGTGAAGTCTTAGGACTTGTTACAGTGCTATACACTGGGCCATAACTTTTATGCCATAGCAGAAGTGACAGCACTTTATACCACAGTCATGAAGAGCTGAGAGGTACAGTAATGAGTCTGACCTGCCTTGATTTTCTTTCCCTATGGAATCTGCTGGTTAATTTGATGTTCAGTGTTGTTGTCCGCTGCAGATCTATCCATCCTGCCAATGAGGGGCATTTTCCTATTGGTGGCCTAAAGTCAACTGACAGAATGGCATACCTGTTGGGCAATCCAAACTGCATGGAGAGCTTGAGGAAGGACATCACCGATCTACAAGGAGCCATTATTGATGTCTTCTCCCGGGCTGGGGCAGTGCGTTATCCCTCCTGGAAGTTCCCCAATAAAGTGTCCTGTGATCTGGATCTGGTGGCTTTGCTGGAGCATTACGACTATGTGGAAAATGACCCTGAATTTACCCAGCATTCCCATGTAATGCTCCTCGAACTGGTGATTGACAGGTGAGAGGATGAATACATCTCAGATCTGTTAAGAGGTTGGTCAGTGGACATCCGCAACTCCTTTCAGAAATGCCTGTTGGGAAAACACTGCATTCATACAGACCATATATCTGTGTTCAGGTCTTTAGAGTCACATGCATCTGGAACGCACAGAAGACATTTCTGTATTCAGCCACTTATCTATGGCTGAGCAACTGTATTTCTTCTTTGAGAAATGTCGCTGCAGAATCCTACCGATAAGATACCTGCCCCTAACACCATGAGCATAGATCTGTATGTGCAGTATATTCAAAGAACTTGCAACAGCTTTTAGCTATCTAGAAGCATTTCCCTGAAATTCTCTTCTTATAGGGGGGTTGGTAGCAATATAGTATAAGGTTGCCTGACATTTCCCATTATAAGACCTTGTTTTCAGTTAGTTATACATTTACCAAACTTTGATTGTTTGAGCTAAAATTTCCCTGTGCTGGATGTCTGCCTCAGGCTCAATCTTTTGGGAAAGCTTCAGCCAAAATGGTTCAGCCATTTCCAAGGATAGGGAAAAATATGTTGTTTTGGCAAAAACAGTTGTTGACCTTTGAGAAATTCTAACATCCCCATACTTTGGAGCAGGGAGAAATTTGGCCTGTGTCAGGGAGGTGCCTTTTGCTGTTCATATGAAAATCTGCCCAAATTTGGCTGTTATAAGTCCTTGAAAAATCTCAGTTTGCACATGCTCAGTAGAGACTTTTTAGAGTTTAACTAAAATCTCTGAAGAGTCCATTCTCACTGAGTATGCTCCAGCTCATCACTGGTTTTGGTGCTGACCAGGCTGTGCATGTGCCATCCCTCCAGAGTGACTGAGCATGCTCCATCCCCTCAAAGTTCCCAGGTGTGACTGGACTGTGCATGCTTCATTCAGTGCACAGAATGGACCTGCTTTGGGGGTGAATCAGGTGAAGCAGCCTGCTGTCTCATTTGTGGAAGTTGGAAGGTGTCTAGTGAATGAGGCAGAGGATTGTGGGAAGAGAAGAGAGGGCCTTGTGGTTAAGGGAGTTGAATGCTACCCTGGAGAATTGGATTCTATCCCTGCCTCTCCCACAGAGTTCCTATGCAGTGTTGGGCAAGTCACTTAAACCAAAGTTTTCACAGGTGGTCCCTAAGTATGCTCCTCATTTTTGGGGTGCTCAACATGAGAGCCTGGGTCTTGATTTGCATTAGTGCTGAGCACTCCCAGTTACAACTGACGTCAATGGGAGCTGTGCTTTGAACATCTAAAGTGCTGTATAATGGTAAGTATGTTGAAAAATCAGGTCCTAGGTGTCTCAAGTTGGGCACTGAAAACTAGTGGATACTTTTGCCCTGTGTCTCAGCTCTGCATCTGTAAAATGGGGATGATCTGTGCACCCCCCATCTCACAGGAGTCTTGTGAGGAAAAAATGTTTGCACAGCAGCTACTGTCATGCTGAGCGTCATAGAAAAGTCTATGAGGAAATTAATAATTCAGTCTTCAGAGCAGGGTTTGAATGATGTGCAGTGAACAAGGCCTGGGGCCACACATTAAACAATGAGGATAAAACAAAATATTGAATAGCAGTTCATCCAGTGAGCATTGTCCATCATGTGCACTGAATAAGGCAGAGGTTCTATGGAAAAAAATGGCACGAGAACATGTAATTAAGGACTGTGCATTGGCACAAGGGGGCCAAATTAAGAATATGCAGACAACCTTAATTTTGGCATTTCCTAACTTTTGGGTGCTTGACTTTGCAACCTTGACAGTGTTCTTTTAACCTAGATTTTGTGTGCAATGTACAGAGGTTTGTGAGTACGTATTTGACAGTTACATTAATACTTGGTATTTCTAGAACACTTAACTTGTTCAAAATATTTTACAGCCATGAACTAATTAATCCTCACAGCCTCTCATCTACAATAAGTAGATGAGTGTTGTTATCCCCTCTTTGCCAATTGGGAAACTGAGGCACAAGTGAACTGAGTTGCCCAAGGCCACCCAGCTAGTGAATGGCAGAGCGGGGACTAGAACCGCATCTCTTGAGTATATCATCCACTAGCCTGCATTGACTTTTGGCATGTATAGTTATCAATACAGATGTCAGTTTTATATTTTAAATCATGGCTCAATCACTAGGCATTTGGGGTGCTTTTTCCATCGGCTTGAAGTAAAATGGTGCTTAATTTTAAAAAAGTAACTCTCAGTGCAGCTTCTCAAGGCTTTACCTTTGTTAAGGCCTGTCAAGTTTCCTCCCCCACTCTGAACTCTAGGGTACAGATGTGGGGACCTGCATGAAAAACCTCCTAAGCTTATCTTTACCAGCTTAGGTCAAAACTTCCCCAAGGTACAAAATATTCCACCCGTTGTCCTTGGATTGGCCGCTACCACCACCAAACTAATACTGGTTACTGGGGAAGAGCTGTTTGGACGCGTCTTTCCCCCCAAAATACTTCCCAAAACCTTGCACCCCACTTCCTGGACAAGGTTTGGTAAAAAGCCTCACCAATTTGCCTAGGTGACTACAGACCCAGACCCTTGGATCTTAAGAACAATGAACAATCCTCCCAACACTTGCACCCCCCCCCTTTCCTGGGAAATGTTGGATAAAAAGCCTCACCAATTTGCATAGGTGACCACAGACCCAAACCCTTGGATCTGAGAACAATGAAAAAGCATTCAGTTTTCTTACAAGAAGACTTTTAATAAAAATAGAAGTAAATAGAAATAAAGAAATCCCCCCTGTAAAATCAGGATGGTAGATATCTTACAGGGTAATTAGATTCAAAAACATAGAAAACCCCTCTAGGCAAAAACCTTAAGTTACAAAAAAGATACACAGACAGAAATAGTTATTCTATTCAGCACAATTCTTTTCTCAGCCATTTAAAGAAATCATAATCTAACACATACTTAGCTAGATTACTTACTAAAAGTTCTAAGACTCCATTCCTGGTCTATCCCCGGCAGAAACCAGCATATAGACAGACCCACAGACCCTTTGTTTCTCTCCCTCCTCCCAGCTTTTGAAAGTATCTTGTCTCCTCATTGGTCATTTTGGTCAGGTGCCAGCGAGGTTACCTTTAGCTTCTTAACCCTTTACAGGTGAGAGGAGCTTTCCCCTGGCCAGGAGGGATTTCAAAGGGGTTTACCCTTCCCTTTATATTTATGACAAGGCCCATTTAGGATTGCCTTGAATTCACCCACCAGCCAGAAGGCCTGATCACTGGGCTAAAGGGGGACCTACCTCCACATAACCCAAAGCACAGGGGATGGCTTTGAATCTGTGCCCCTGGGAAAGGACAGTCAGGCCCTGAACTCGGAGGAATGTTGCTCTGTAGAGTGACCCAGAACTGGGGAGTTGTACAAGTGGTGACCCACGACTATCCAGCCCCCTGGGATAGAGAGGGTCCCCCTGCCTTGTTTCCACCCCTAAACAGCCTAGGAAGCTGGGGTTTCCCTCTGGGGTATTTTGTGTGCCAAATGCTAACCCTGGGCCACCTCCTTATGTCATCCCCCAACTTGCAGGGCGGTAGTGACCGACAGCAAAAAGCCCACTCCCAGAAAGAAATCCCATGCAGCTCTAAGCCACGGTTTGTTTCTGTCAGAAAGGCTGCTGTTGCTGCTTCAGAGCTTCACAGGCTACATGGAGAATCTCATCAGCGAACAAGCTGTGCCCCCCTCCCGGGCAGTGGGACCCTGCATGTCCATCGGGCTGGCTGTGAGGAAGTACGGGAACAGCATGTTGAAACTGGGAGCGCTCCATCAGCAGCTAGTGACTGAGGTAGGATGTGGCCTAGTGATGCTGGGACCTATGTCATATAGGATTTGCTATACTAAACCAGATCGTGGTTGAACCTTCAGTGATCAGATTACACTTCAGAGCATGAGCTTTGATTAACCTCATCTAATCCTCAGAACTAGATAAAATGAAATTAGTGACTGTAATATTAGCCAGCCCCTTTTAAAATCCAGCTACTGTATTTAGCTCTCTGGCCTACTGAAGCAGGGAGGTCTGCTGGCTGCCTACATGCAGTGTGATCATAGAATCATAGAATATTAGGGTTGGAAGAGACCTCAGGAGGTCCAATCCCCTGCTCAAAGCAGGACCAACACCAACTAAATCATCCCAGCCAAGGCTTTGTGAAGCCGGGCCTTAAAACCTCTAAGGATGGAGAGTCTACCACCTCCCTAGGTGTGACGTTGCAGTCCATATGATTTTATGAAAATATGCTAATGTGTATGAATATAATGTAACTGGAATATGCTTCATGCAAAAGGTCTCGTGTAAGGTATCATTACAAAGCCTATAATCTACTGAGTGTGTTCATCCTATTTGCATAAATGTATCATTCTTATATCTGAAACTAGAAATATGACATGTTTCAGAGTAACAGCCGTGTTAGTCTGTATTCGCAAAAAGAAAAGGAGTACTTGTGGCACCTTAGAGACTAACCAATTTATTTGAGCATGAGCTTTCGTGAGCTACAGCTCACTTCATCAGATGTATACCGTGGAAACTGCAGCAGACTTTATATACACACAGAGAATATGAAACAATACCTCCTCCCACCCCACTGTCCTGCTGGTAATAGCTTATCTAAAGTGATCATCAGGTGGGCCATTTCCAGCACAAATCCAGGTTTTCTCACCCTCCACCCCCCCCCACACAAATTCACTCTCCTGCTGGTGCTAGCCCATCCAAAGTGACAACTCTTTACATAATCAAGTCGGGCTATTTCCTGCATAAATCCAGGTTTTCTCACATCCCCCCCACCCCCATACACACACAAACTCACTCTCCTGCTGGTAATAGCTCATCTAAACTGACCACTCTCCAAGTTTAAATCCAAGTTAAACCAGAACATCGGGGGGGGGGGGGGGGGTTAGGAAAAAACAAGAGGAAACAGGCTACCTTGCATAATGACTTAGCCACTCCCAGTCTCTATTTAAGCCTAAATTAATAGTATCCAATTTGCAAATGAATTCCAATTCAACCTTCCACACAAACTTCCTCGTGGCTGGATTTTACTAAAACTAGACAAGCCATTTACAACGCACACTTTGCTTCTCTACAAAAGAAAAAGGACACTAAACTTTCTAAACTACTACATGCTACAAGGGGCCACAGCAATGGTTCCCTCAACCCACCTACCAATATTGTTAACCTATCCAACTATACTCTCAGCCCAGCAGAAGCAGCTGTTCTATCTCGGGGCCTCTCCTTCTGCCCCTCCACCCCCATGAACATGATACAGTTCTGTGGTGACCTAGAATCCTATTTTCGACGTCTCCGACTCAAGGAATATTTCCAAAATACCTCTGAACAACATACTAATCCACAGAGGTCTCCCTACCAACACTACAGAAAGAGGGATTCTAGATGGACTCCTCCTGAAGGTCGAAACAGCAGACTGGACTTCTACATAGAGTGCTTCCGCCGACGTGCACGGGCTGAAATTGTGGAAAAGCAGCATCACTTGCCCCATAACCTCAGCCATGCGGAACGCAATGCCATCCACAGCCTCAGAAACAACTCTGACATCATAATCAAAAAGGCTGACAAAGGAGGTGCTGTTGTCATCATGAATAGGTCGGAATATGAACAAGAGGCTGCTCGGCAGCTCTCCAACACGAGTTTCTACAAGCCATTACCCTATGATCCCACTGAGAGTTACCAAAAGCAACTACAGCATTTACTCAAGAAACTTCCTGAAAAAGCACAAGATCAAATCCGCACAGACACACCCCTGGAACCCCGACCTGGGATATTCTATCTACTACCCAAGATCCATAAACCTGGAAATCCTGGGCACCCCATCATCTCAGGCATTGGCACCCTGACAGCAGGATTGTCTGGCTATGTAGACTCCCTCCTCAGGCCCTACGCTACCAGCACTCCCAGCTACCTTCGAGACACCACTGACTTCCTGAGGAAACTTCAATCCATCGGTGATCTTCCTGATAACACCATCCTGGCTACTATGGATGTAGAAGCCCTCTACACCAACATTCCACACAAAGATGGACTACAAGCCGTCAAGAACACTATCCCCGATAATGTCACGGCTAACCTGGTGGCTGAACTTTGTGACTTTGTCCTTACCCATAACTATTTCACATTTGGGGACAATGTATACCTTCAGATCAGCGGCACTGCTATGGGTACCCGCATGGCCCCACAGTATGCCAACATTTTTATGGCTGATTTAGAACAAAGCTTCCTCAGCTCTCGTCCCCTAAAGCCCCTACTCTACTTGCGCTATATTGATGACATCTTCATCATCTGGACCCATGGAAAAGAAGCCCTTGAGGAATTCCACCATGATTTCAACAATTTCCATCCCACCACCAACCTCAGCCTGGTCCAGTCCACACAAGAGATCCACTTCCTGGACACTACAGTGCTAATAAACAATGGCCACATAAACACCACCCTATACCGGAAACCTACTGACCGCTATTCCTACCTGCATGCCTCCAGCTTTCACCCTGACCACACCACACGATCCATCGTCTACAGCCAAGCTCTGCGATACAACCGCATTTGCTCCAACCCCTCAGACAGAGACAAACACCTACAAGATCTCTGTCAAGCTTTCTTACAACTACAATACCCACCTGCAGAAGTAAAGAAACAGATTGATAGAGCCAGAAGAGTTCCCAGAAGTTACCTACTACAGGACAGGCCTAACAAAGAAAATAACAGAACGCCACTAGCCGTCACCTTCAGCCCCCAACTAAAACCCCTCCAACGCATTATTAAGGATCTACAACCTATCCTAAAGGATGACCCAACACTCTCACAAATCTTGGGAGACAGGCCAGTCCTTGCCTACAGACAGCCCCGCAACCTGAAGCAAATACTCACCAACAACCACATACCACACAACAGAACCACTAACCCAGGAACTTATCCTTGCAACAAAGCCCGTTGCCAATTGTGCCCACATATCTATTCAGGGGACACCATCACAGGGCCTAATAACATCAGCCACACTATCAGAGGCTCGTTCACCTGCACATCCACCAATGTGATATATGCCATCATGTGCCAGCAATGCCCCTCTGCCATGTACATTGGTCAAACTGGACAGTCTCTACGTAAAAGAATAAATGGACACAAATCAGATGTCAAGAATTATAACATTCATAAACCAGTCGGAGAACACTTCAATCTCTCTGGTCACGCAATCACAGACATGAAGGTCGCTATCTTAAAACAAAAAAACTTCAAATCCAGACTCCAGCGAGAAACTGCTGAATTGGAATTCATTTGCAAATTGGATACTATTAATTTAGGCTTAAATAGAGACCGGGAGTGGCTAAGTCATTATGCAAGGTAGCCTGTTTCCTCTTGTTTTTTCCTACCCCCCCCCCCCCCCAGATGTTCTGGTTTAACTTGGATTTAAACTTGGAGAGTGGTCAGTTTGGATGAGCTATTACCAGCAGGAGAGTGAGTTTGTGTGTGTATGGGGGTGGGGGGGATGTGAGAAAACCTGGATCTATGCAGGAAATAGCCCGACTTGATTATGTAAAGAGTTGTCACTTTGGATGGGCTAGCACCAGCAGGAGAGTGAATTTGTGTGGGGGGGTGGAGGGTGAGAAAACCTGGATTTGTGCTGGAAATGGCCCACCTGTTGATCACTTTAGATAAGCTATTACCAGCAGGACAGTGGGGTGGGAGGAGGTATTGTTTCATATTCTCTGTGTGTATATAAAGTCTGCTGCAGTTTCCACGGTATACATCTGATGAAGTGAGCTGTAGCTCACGAAAGCTCATGCTCAAATAAATTGGTTAGTCTCTAAGGTGCCACAAGTACTCCTTTTCTTTTTTAGAAATATGACATATAACTCTGAGGTCCTATTGTAATTATGCAAAGTGTGGGCCATTAATGGTGTTTTGGAATCTTGATGGCTCCCATCAACTAGGACAATTGACTGTAGATGGCTCTGTTTACTTGAAAAGAAAAGGAGTACTTGTGGCACCTTAGAGACTAACCAATTTATTTGAGCATGAGCTTTCGTGAGCCACAAAAAGAAAAGGAGGACTTGTGGCACCTTAGAGACTAACCAATTTATTTGAGCATAAGCTTTCATGAGCTACAGCTCCAATTAAGCTTATGCTCAAATAGTCTCTAAGGTGCCACAAGTACTCCTTTTCTTTTAATGAAAGCTTGGGGTCTCACAGAACATGTGACCATGTCACCTGGTACTGGAATCCATCTTAAACCTGGGGCTTTTCCATTTAGACGGAGGGGTGGGGACCCAAAGAGACAAAAGATTCCCTCCTTGTGCCACAGCTATATATAAGGGGGTGGAACAGAATAAAGGGGGCTGCAGTCATGAGAAATCCTCTAGCTACCACCTAAGCTGGAACAAGCTCTGTACCAGGGGAAAGGATTAGGCCCAGACTAGACTGTAATCCCCAAGTCCTTTCCTACAGAACTGATGCTTTGCCAGTCGCTCACCAGCCTGTACCGGTGCCTGGGATTCTTCCTTCCTAAGTGCAGGACTCCGCACTTGTCCTTGTTGAACCTTATCAGCTATCTTTTGGCCCAATCCTCCAATTTGTCTAGGTCACTCTGGACCCTATCCCTACCCTACAGCATATCTACCCTCCCCCCAGTTTAGTGTCATCTCCGAACTTGCTGAGGGTGCAATTAATCCCATCATCCAGATCATTGATAAAGATGTTGAACAAAACTGGCCCCAGGACCAACCCCTGGGGCACTCTGCCTGATACCGCCTGCCAACTAGACATCGAGCTGTTGATCACTACCCGTTGAGCCCGACAATCTAGCCAACTTTCTATCCACCTTATAGTCCAGTCATCCAATCCATACTTTTTTAACTTGCTGGCATTAATACTGTGGGGACCATATCAAAATCTTTGCTAAAGTCAAGATATATCACATCCACCGCTTTCTCCATATCCACAGAGCCAGTTATCTCGTCATAGAAGGCAATCAGGTTGGTCAGGCATGACTTGCCCTTGGTGAATCCATGTTGACTGTTCCTGATTACCTTCCTCTCCTCCAAGTGCTTCAAAATGATTCTTTAAGGACCTGCTCCAAGATTTTGCCGGGGACTGAAGTGAGGCTGACCAGTCTGTAGTTCCCTGGGTTCTCTTTTTTCCCTTTTTAAAATATGGGCACTATATTTTCCTTTTTCTGATCATCCGGGACCTCCCCCCGATTACCACAAATTTTCAAAGATAATGGCCAATGGCTCTGCAATCCCATCAGCCAACTCCCTCAGCACCCTTGGATGCATTAGATCCAGTCCCATGGACTTGTGCATGTCCAGCTTTTCTAAATAGTCCTTAACCTGTTCTTTCACCACTGAGGGCTGCTCACCTCGTCCCCATACTGTGTTGCCCAGTGCAGCAGTCTGGGAGCTGACCTTGTCTGTGAAGACTGAGGCAAAAAAAGCATTGAGTACTTCAGCTTTTTCCACATCCTCTGTCACTAGGTTGCCTCCCCCATTCAGTAAGGGTCCCACACTTTCCCTGACCACCTTCTTGTTGCTAACATACCTGTAGGAACCCTTCTTGTTATCCTTCACATCCCTTGCTAGCTGCAACTCCAATTGTGCCTTGGCCTTCCTGATTACACCCCTGCATGCTCTAGCAATATTTTTATACTCCTCCCTAGTCACCTGTCCAAATTTCCACTTCTTGTAAGTTTCCTTTTTGAGTTTCTCCCCAAAGATTTCACTGTTAAGCCAAGCTGGTCACCTGCCATATTTGCTATTCTTTCTGCACTTTGGGATGGTTTGTTCCTGCGCCCTCAATAAGGCTTCTTTAAAATACAGCCAGCTCTCCTGGACTCCTTTCCCCCTCATATTAGCTTCCCAGGGGATCCTGCCCATCAGTTCCCTAAGGGATTCTAAGTCTGCTTTTCTCAAGTCCAGGGTCTATATTTTGCTACTCTCCTTTCTTCCTTTTGTGAGGATCCTGAACTCAACCATCTCATGGTCACTGCTGCCTAGGTTGCTACCCACTTCTACTTCCCCTACCAATTCTTCCTATTTGTAAGCAGCGGGTCAAGAGGAGCACAGCCCCTAGTCGGTTGCTCCAGCACTTGTACCAGGAAGTTGTCCCCAACACTCTCCAAAAACTTCCTGGATTGTCTGTGCACTGCTGTATTGCTCTCCCAGCAGACGTGATTGAAGTCTCCCATTAGTACCAGGGCCTTTGATCTGGAAACTTCAGTTAGTTGTCCGAAGAAAGCCTCGTCTACCTCATCCTTCTGATTCAGTGGTCCATAGCACATGCCCACCACAACATCACCCTTGTTGCTCTCGCCTCTAAGCTTAACCCAAGGACTCTCAACGGGCTTTTCTCCAGTTTCAAACTGGAGCTCTGAGCAATCGTACCAAAAAAGTAATGCTTTTGTTTGAAATTTATGTTACTTTTTTCAAGTGACCCTTTGTTCTCCTATTATGGGGCAAAAAAGGGGCGCTGATCACTGTCCCCTTTGTAACCTTAACACTGTTCCTCAGTCATGTTCCCTGAAATAATTCTCTTTCCCAGGATAAATAGTCCCAGTATTTGCCAGACCACCTCCCGAGGGAATCTGGCCAGGTCTCTTTGTAGCCCCTCTTTGAACCTATTCAATCTCAGAAAAATGTAGCAAAGGTGAAGCTACCCTAGCTGACCGCAGACTCCCACTGACATTCCCTCCCAGTGAGGATGTGCCAGTGTTCAGTCAGGCTTTTTGGTGTTGTACTTTTGGTCCTGTCACCAGCCGTGAAGCAAAGGGGTCTCTATTGAGTTACAGGAATTATTCGTTTCCTGTGTTCCATTTAAAAAAATGGGCACTATTTTATCGGCTTTCCAGGCCAATTTTGGAGCATCTGTTCTGTGAAGATAGTTGAGAATAACTTGTTTAAACATGATAGCAAATGTCTTCATTCTCTTATGTTTTCTCTCTAATAGAAGAAATCTAACAGGAGGGACATCTCTGCACTGAAATCTACCCTGCAAGATGTGAAAGCTGAGAATGAGCCTTTGAAAAGCTGCTCACCTGTGATTTCAGAATCAAGTGCATTATTAGCCAGTGCCCAGTCAACCATGTCATGTCTACCACAAACCATCCATGGGCCAGACTGTGGTTTCTCAGACACCTCACAGCCACGATCTGCATATGGTGTCACCAAGAATGTCTGTAGTGTCCATTCTCAGACAATTGAGTCATCTCTGGTGCCCTGTGATGCATGTGCAAGTGGCCAGGCCAGCCTCTGGGAGGTCGGTAAAGCCATCATCAGCATCTGCCACAGCCAGAACATCCCCTCGTCCCTGGGCAAATTCCAAGAGAAGGTTGAGGAGACCCTAGGCAACAAGCCACTCACCACTACTGACATAAGTTTCTGGGCATCAGAACAGAGCAAAGACCTCTCTCGTATCAACAGACATCTTGGGGTGCTGATGCAGCTGATAAACCCTTTGAAGGCAGATCTGGAAGAATCTGAGAAACAGAAGGATGAGCTGAGGAAGCAGGTTGAGGACTTTGACAAGCTTCTTCAGAAGGCAACTGAGACCCAGGAATGGCAGAGGAAGAAGGCTGAGCAGTACCTGGAGGAAAAGATAAAGGAGAATTTTCAGATCACAGCCAAACTGGAGAAGGACAAGGAAGATCTACAGACAGGTGTGGTGCCAGTCCCAGCTTGTCCCTAGTCAATAGGTGTTTTTCTTAAACACAACCAGAGTCCTTAGGGAAATCCTAGTCCCACAGAAGTCAGTGGGAGTTTTTCCATTGATTTCAATGGGATTACGATTTTACCCCTTGACAGTTGATTGTTCCCTTTAAATTAACTCTTGTTCACAAATCTCTTCTTTCTCTGTATTTCTGGTGGCAGAGAGGCCAGGTATTGCAGACTCCGTACTTCATTTCTGCTTCTGGAGGGGTGGCTGTTTCCTACTCACTCTCGCCTTCTGGGCTCCTTTTATTCCCTGGTGTTCTCATGAACTGCATATTTGTTTGATTCTGAGTAGGTTTTAGTGAAGCAGTTGGTCAGCTTCCTGAGAAAAGACTATTCTCAGTAAGTGCCCAATCGAGAAGCCCTTAAGCCAGCAATGAACTTGGAGATGCCAATCCACATTTGGGCTTTTGGGGGACACAAATCAGGTATGTCCCACATCTTTAAAGGGTTAACCACTAGTATTAACTCCTTTGTCTTGACCCATAGATGAAATAGTAAAAGACACAAGAGTAACAGCATATCTATGGTGGACATGCTTTGTTCACACAATTTAGCTTGTTTAGTGTCTACTGTATTTTCCCATTTCTTTGTGCCTCCTGGTAGGCACTCTGATGCAGACTCTTCTGCCTCTTTGGAGAAGGCTTTCAATTCAGGCATGTGTTTGGGGCTTTGGGAAGGAAAGGGTGTACTGCAACCATGCCTGCCCTCGGCCCCTCCCTCTGGAATTTCTCTGGGCTGGGCCCCACTCCCTGGTGAAGTTTCACCCATGCGGAGATTTTTCCCTTCCTGTCTTGGAGAGAGTTTTATTTCTTACAAGCATAGCAAGAACAACATCTTTCAGGGGAGTGCCTTGGATGGGTAAAACCCCTTTGGACACCCCACTTTCTGTTCCTAAAAGGTTAGCTGGGGGGACCCCCTTCCGGGAGATCTGACCCCCAGTCTTCCCTTAAACCCTGTTCCACAGGAGAGGGGTCTGGCATTTTAAATGCAGATTGTTCACCCTCATCCTGGGAAACATCCTCCCTACAAAAGGTGGGCACCTTCCGTCTGGGCTTCCCTCTCTGGGCTCCCTGCTGGGTCAGACACTCCTGTGTCCCCCAAAAGGGAAGGTGTCCCTGATCCACCTGTGGGCTCACAACTACCAGCTATGACAGACCCTTCACTGGCCAGCAAAATTCCCCCCTTTTCACTCAGGTTGGGCTTGCTTCCAGCTACAGAGTCCTGGGGGTCTGTTCCCACTGCAGAGGTCAACAGGACCCCAAATTCCACCTTCGGGACACATGTCTCTGTGCACCCCAGGGCAGGCCCTGCCCTCTGCTGACCTGCAACTTCCTAGCAGTCAGCGGCTGGGGTAGCCCCCCAGTTACAAGATGATACATTCCCCTCCCCCGGGGAGATGATCATGGGACAGGGGCTGGCTTTGTCCAGCCCCTCCCTCTGGAACTGGCCCGGGGCTTTTAGCACAAGATTCCTTCTCACTGCTAACCAACCCTGGGACAGATTCTGTCACATTAAAGAAATCATTCCCCAGTAAAAACGGTGCAAAATTGTGTGCCACCATTACAACAGTCAATTCAGCCTGCAAATCCTTAGTTTGCATGTATACTTTAGCTAAAGGTGCAAGGACTTTGTAACCTCCCACCAGTTCTAATTCTTCCATTTTACCTGGCAACAAATCCTTCTCCTGGATCAGGTCGTTCCTGACCACAAAAATCTCAGCACCTGTATCCTTCAATCCAAGAAGCACTTCACCATTGATTTTAACTGCATGCATATGCTCATTGCTTGGTTGTGTAGAAGCAAGCTTTACAAACCCTGTGTGCAAAGAGGCCGCAGCCTGGCTCTGTGAAGTAGCAGCTTCAAGTGTTACTTGCTGCCTGTTTCCACTCAGCAAGGGACACTTATTCCTCAGGTGCTCAGTGGACTTACAACGATAGCACCTCTTGGGCGCCTCTGCTTGCACAGGAGATTTGGGACAGGTCACAGGGGAGTGGGGAGGTGAACACCCCACCTCCTTTTTCCCAGGGGCAAAACGGTGCTTCTGCTTTCCCCCAACCCTGTGCCCCTCTGCCAGTGGTTCATGTTTAATTGCAGCCTGTGTTTGCTCATAAGAGCCTGCAAACCCAGCTAATTCACCCACTGCGTCCATCTTTTTGTCCCACAAATACTGTTTTACATCATCACTGCACGTATTCAGGAATTGTTCCTGAGTAACCAAATCACAAATTCCGTCAAAGCTTGTAATGCCTTTCCCCCTCACCCACTTGTCTACCAAATCTCACATTTCATTTATATAAGCCACATTACTCAATCCAGATCCCCTCTTAAGACTCCTGAATTTAATCCTGTGGGTTTCAGGTGTAACCTGAAACTGTTTCAGAACCCGTTCCCTAAATTTACCATAGTTTGAAGCATCATCAATAGGCATCTTATTGAATATGTCCAGAGTTCTGCCAGTCAATTTTGTAATCAATGTGGTCATCTTTTGGTCTTCAGGGATTGCATGGAGGGTGCACAGTCTCTCAAAGGTGATGAAATATTCGGCAACATGTTGCTGGATTTCGTCATACTGGGGATATAGTCGCTCCCATTTGTGGATTTTTGGGGAAGTGGAGCCAGCTCTTCAACTCCATAACAGCCAGTTCATGCTTCTGGGCCTCCATAGCTCTCTTGTGGGCAGCCTCTTCTGCCTCCACCTTGGATGTTTCTGCCTCCACAGCTCTCTTGTGGGCAGCCTCCTCTGTATTAATTTCTAATTGTCTTAATTCCATCCGTCTCTGATGTTCATTTTCTTTCTCTTTTGCTTCCAGTCTAGCCAGCTCTAGTTTATTAGCTGCTTCACTGGTAGTCATTTTCCTACTTTCTTGTGCTGGGCCACGCCCCCTCTGTAGTTCACTGAAACTGGGATGCACTCACCTCAGGGGATTCTTAGTTAACAGAGACTTTCACAGCGCCCAGCGTTCAGCCTTTCTGGGCCATTTGCAACTTGTGTAGTTCTAGCTTCTTCTGATCTTCACTCTTACTTATTTTGCTTACCCGAAATGGGCAAACAGAAAATAACAAACAGTGACCACTTTGTCTGTTCTCCAGCCACCACACTTAAAACTCACTTAAAATCACTACCAGTATCTCAAAGCAATCAGCTGTGCACAGATCCTGCTCGACTACGCCACTGTGACAGGTTGGATCACAGAAACCCCCTTGGGACTGCCAACTGATGTGCCAAGATGCTTCAGCCCCTGCTTTCCCTGCCAGCTTGAGCTGAGCCAGACATGCCAGTCTGCTCCAACGCAGACCCAGGGTCTGAACCACATGCCCCAAAGCTGCAGACTTAGCTTTCATGCCCTTTCAGCTTAGGACTTCAGTGCCCTGCCTGGTTTGAGCCAGACCCGCTAGCCTGCTGCAAACCCAGACTCAAGTCTGAACCACATCCCCAAAGCTGCAGACTTGACTGAAAGCAGCTCACAGAAGTGTTCCTGCCTTTAACACTCAGGTGCCCAACTCCCAGTGGGGTCCAAACCCCAAATAAATCCATTTTACCCTGTATAAAGCTTATACAGGGTACACTTGTAAATTGTTTGCCCTCTATAACACTGATAGAGAGATATGCACAGCTGTTTCCCTCCCCCCCCCCCCCGGTATTAATACATACTCTGGGTTAATTCATAAGGAAAAAGTGATTTTATTAAATACAGAAAGTAGGATTTAAGTGATTCCAAGTAGTGACAGACAGAACAAAGTGAATTACCAAGCAAAATAAAATAAAACACACAAGTCTAAGTCTAGTACAGTAATAAAACTGAATACAGATAAAATCCTCACCCAGTAAGCTTCCTTTTACAGACTCGTCTCCTTCTAGTCTAGATCCAGCAATCACTCACACCCCCTGTAGTTACTGTCCTTTGTCCTTTCAGGTATCCTTGGGGTGGGGAGGCTCTCTCTTTAGCCAGCTGAAGACCAAATGGAGGGGTCTGTTGAGGGTTTAAATAGACTTTCTCTTGTGGGTGGAGACCCCCTACTCTCTCCTATGCAACGTCCAGCTACAAAATGGAGTTTTGGAGTCACCTGGGCAAGTCACATGTCTATGTATGACTGAGTTCCTTACCAGCCAAGCCACATTCTTGGGAAAGCCCAGATGTGGATTGGCATCTTCAAGTTCATTGTTGGCTTAAGGGCTTCTTGACTGGGCACTGACTGAGAATAGTCTTTTCTCAGGAAGCTGACCAAGTGCTTCACTAAAACTTACTAGAATCAAACAAGTATGCAGCCAATATTCATAACTTCGAATACAAAAATGATACATGCATACAAATAGGATTAATAGATTTAGTAGAGCATAACCTTTACAGAGATATGTTACATGGCGTATGTAGCATAGAACACATTCTAGTTATGTCATATATACATTCATAAGTATATTTACATTGTGACGGTGCCCCCCATAAGGCTTTATGTATCTAACTCACTAGCCCATAAAGTGGCCATTCAAAGGGAGGGAGACATCCTCCTTTAAGGGTTAATATGGCATCTTCACAATATGCTTGATCATCTTACCTAATCCTCACCAACCTAAAGAGCGAGAACACAGGTGACCTGAGTCTGTTGATTCAGCTGTGCCAGTGGGTGACATCTCTCTCTCTCTCTCTCTCTCTCTCTTCCCCCACAGGCCCACTTCCCCCTCCTCCCCCCCCCGCCCACTTGGTGTGATGATATGAAGAGTTTATTGGGATGCTGGCATTGCTGATGAGTGATGCATTATGTAGCTTGTCCCTAATGAGTGTCAATAAAACCTTCACCCCATCCCATCCTGTGTTCTGTATGTGGCACATCTGTTCCCAGAAAAACTATTTCACAACTTTTTTCGAGAGTTTTTTAAACACATAAAGGTGCTATTTTCCATATCCCTCCAACTGGAAGGATATGGAACTTCTTAAGACCAGAAGTTCAATAGATAATAAAGATGATCAGCTATTTCATTTTTTCTGGCTCCTCCCTTTAGTGAAGCATAGAATGATACACTCAGTTGATGAGAAATGCCATGGTGTGATTGTTATGTGTAGATAAGTGCTGTAAAGGACCTGGGAGGTCCTTGCTAAGTCATTTGTTCTGGTTGGTTTAGGAGCTGCTGTGCTGGAGGAGAGAATTTCCACCTTGAAAGAAGAGCTGCTGTCACAGCAAGCTGCCATGCGAGAGCTGGGTAGGAATTCTCATGGGCTCATCCATCCATCCGATCTCATCCATAGACTCTATTCTCCTCTCACGCTGTTTTTACACCAGTGTAGTTCTCTTGACTTTAGTGGAGTCGCTCCCGATTAGCACTGGTGTAAGTGAGAGGAGAATCGGCACCAATGTATTTAAATGGCCTCCATCATTGTAGTGTCTGAGTGCCTTCTAACTTCCACTGCCCAGGTAACACACTAGGCAGAATCCTGGGGCAAGAGCCCATGAGCCTCTCAGAATCTCAGCCACTTCAGCACAGGGAACAGCAAACTTGAAATCCCTAGGAAGAGAAGCCTTGGGGCTAGGCTATTCCTTACAGGGGTGTGGAGAAGATGTGCTGCAGTGGGAGCCACAAATGGACTCCTGGCTGACTCCCAAAATTCCTCCCAGGGCTCTTGGTTGACTGTTCTCTGCCACCCATCAGATGGGTATAACAGTGCTCCCCTGCACCAAGCAGCTCTTGGTACAGAGGTGGGCCCATAGCTTTGGGAAGACTAATGCTAGCATGATGCAATCTCTCTGCTTCCTGCTTACACAAGGGGAAGGCTCCATGTGCCACCTTCCCGCATCTCATGTACCCATGCAGAGCCAGCCACAGTGTGGCTCTTAAAGACTAACAGTGAAGCCTGTCTACCTGGCTGATAGCTGTGGGGTGCTAGCATCATGTGTTGGGACTCACAAGGTTGCAGGCATAAGTGGGAATGGTGGCTCCCCTTCTGGGAGGCATCCATGAGAGAATTTAAGTCATGCCAGAAAGCTTCCTCTCACCTCTCTCATCCACTTCCCACGGGATCATGGAACCTGGGGAAGGAAGAGCCCATCTTGCCCATCTCCACCATTATGAGCTCCCCCCATCCACAGCACTGGTTACAGGATGTTGTGTATTCACAGAGCTGACCAAAAGCACCCTGCTGGAGGAGATGAGGACTAAGATGGCCCACAAGAGCCAGATGACAAAGCTGGAAGACCAAGTGCAGCTGCTAACCAGCCAGTTGGAGAACGCAAGCCACAAGCTTAGCAGGGCCACCACCCAGCTAGACAAGGAGAAGGCCAAAGTGGAAAGCATGCTCAGGCATGAGGAGGTGCGGCCATGGCAGGAACCAGGACCTGTTGTTCCCTGCCTTACCCGAATCTAATTCCCTTCTACTCTCCACTAGGCCATCTCTGGCTGGTCCTGGTCCATGCTGCTCTATCCATACCTCTCCTGTCAGCCCGTCCCTTCTTCTGTTCTGCTCCCTCTGCTGCTACCCAACCTTGTTTTCATTTAAGACTTATGCCAGGATTGTAAATAGGGTCTCTGTGGGAAGCTGAGGGCTCAGCTCAGTGTTCCTGCTCCCCTCCCCGCCCTGCATTGCTTTGCTTGTACTTCCCTGGCAATACCTTGTGCTATCCCTTTTTTCAGGGGTGAGTATCAGACAGGTAAAGAGGTGCTGTGCACCTGAGCAATGTTGCCATCTTACTTGTGTACTGTCATCCTGACCTGCGGGGGAGCTGCCTTCTGAAAGCAGCCTGTTTGATGGATTGTTGCAACTTACCTTCATCAGCATCCCCTCTGTGCCTATTTCATTCCCTCAGTGCAATGGCATTTTGCTGTCAGTAACAAACACTCACTTTTGAAAGTTGCCACTGATCAGTTCCAGCATTCCAGGGAGCGCTCTAGGCAGAAGCAGGCAGGGCCCCATGCTTTTGGTGAAAGCTGGAGAAGCCCGATCCCCCCTAGAACCAGGCCCACCAGCAGACATGCCAAACCCACAAAAAAATGCATAAATTGGGCTTGTTTTTGGCTTAATTGGCTTGTGAGTTGCTTGTTGGCTAGTTTTTGGCTTGTAGCTTGTTGCTTCTTTTTTTTGATCGGCTCCCGGCAAGCAGGGGTAAGGGGGAGCAAACAGAGGCAAGGGAGGGAGAGAGTCAGGGGTGCACACCGCGCGCACCACAGTCCCAGACTGCATGCCGGGGGGATCTAGTCACATAGAGTGTTGGGGTTCTTAAGGATTGGCTTGTTTTGGCCTTGTTTTGAAATGGGATTAGCTTGATTTTTGGCTTATTGTGCAAGTCGGGGTGCTTATTTACCACGTGAAAGTTGGCAACTCTGCCCACTGGTGCCCATTTGGTGCTGCAGGTAGAGGAAACTCTCCGGTGCCCTTTGCTGCTACCTACACACATCACAGGCCATAGGCACTGAGTTCCCCTCTGACCAGTGGGTGCCCAACCCACCGCCCTTGCACTGCCCTTGCACCACCCCCATTCCACCCCTTCCCCAAAGTCCCCGCCTATCCCACCTTTTCCCACCCCCATTCCATCCCCTTCCCCCAAAGTCCCTATCCCTGCCCTGCCTCCTCCCCTGAGTGTGCCGTGTCCCTGCTCCTCCCACTCCCTCCCAGAAAGTCCTAAGCGCTGCCAAACAGCTGTTTGGCCTATATCACATGTGGAAGGAGGGGGAGGAGCGGGGGACGCTGTGCTGGTACAGGCGGGGGTGGAGAGAAGGAGGCTAGGAGGGGGGAGTTTGGCTTCCGGTGGGTGTGGAGCACCCGCTAATTTTTCCTCTGTGGGTGCTCCAGGCCTGGAGCACGGACTTGGCGCCTGTGTCACAGGCTGTGGCTTACTAGTGGGTCACACGCTTCCTTTGTGATATAGGCCAAGCTGTACACCCAGTTCGGCTCCTCTTGCCTCCCCCTCTCACACACTCTAGCCCATCCCTCACAGTTTGGTCCCTTGACCCCACTCTTTATTATAACCCTTCCTGCTTTAAAGCTACTTGGGCCGCTGAGGGTGACATCTGTACATATCTTCTGCCTTCCTCTTTCTGTGAAGTCGCTCCAGGCCAAGCAGAGGACCCTGTTGCAACAGCTGGACTACCTGGATCAGGAGTGCGAGGAGCTGAGGGCCAGCCTAGGCGAAGTTGAGGATGACAAGGCTAAGCTGGAGCAACAGCTGAAGGCGACACAGGCCGAGAAGCAGCAGATTCAGGGCCAGCTGGAGGCCCAGCAGGTCAGCGTTAATGTCCCCGGAGCAGCAAGAAGTTCCTTCGCAGTAGGGGCTCCCCTGAGAGGCAGTGAAATGGGAGCTAGAGCTGCACTGTGGAGCTCCAGTACGGGAGGGAGCCATTAAAGGGCTCAGAATGAATGCCCCCCACTTGGGTACACCATGGAGTGCCAGTGTGCTGGGGGTGGGTGAACAGGCTGCACTGTGCAATGATGGAGGGTGAGAGAACAATAAAGAGCACTGAGATGTCTTCCTCTTGCACTGGCTCCAGCCAGGCAGTCTGTCCATGGTTAGTATCTCTGGGCCACTGCTGAGAACGCTACTCCATTTTACTCAGTCCTTTTCCCTCTGACTGATGGGAATTTGTTCTAAGCAAGTAGCAGCGGGGAGGAGGGGCCTCAGGGATTGGCCCTCTCAGCAGAACCCTGTTAGGCACTGAAGGTTGTGGGCATTCCAGGACAAGTGCCACATCTGTCTGGTGCTCCCACATCACACTGAGACCCGGTGGTTCGTCACATTGGCGTGCCGCTCACTAGACAAGGCGGTCGGATTCAGCCCTGAAGGCAATGTTACAGCTGCATGATGAACTCTTCTCCTCTCCTAGCCACTTTGCAGCCCCTGCCCCTGAGCAGAATCACTCTGAGCTGGCACCGCAGCAGGGAAGGAGCTTGGTGAAACCTAACCACACTCCTCCTGTCCAGTGCAGCAGCTAATGGAGAACCTGCAGCAGGAGAAGCTGAGCCTGGAGCAGTCCACGTCCGAACTACTCAGGAACATCTCCGAGCTGGATGAGCTGCTCCAGGAGCTGAAGGAGAGGGAGAGGTTGCTCGTGTCCTTTCCAGACCTCCACATCCCTGCTGAGGCGCAGTTTGAGAGTAAGAGAGGGTGTGCGGAGGGGCAGAGGGCAGCAGACAGTAAGAGCCTGTGCAGGGGGTAGCAAACACCAGAATGGACGATAACAGACTTCATCCCTGCCGCCAATAGTACTCACGCACTGAGTGCCCTAGAGTGCTCATCTCCCCCAGCTCACATGCATGGGAGTGTGCAATTCCAGCAACTGTTTTAGAGTTACACGAATATAAAAATCAGACTTTCAATTAAACATGGAAAACCATCCCACTGAAAAAATCAGAGTTGCAGTCCAGAGGGATCGCCCTTGAGACAAGTGACTATGAGATGTGACCACGTGACTCTATGCTATGTTAAGGGTCATCTTAACCCTTTACAGACTGCAGCTGTGTATTCTGTCTACGACCCCCTCAACCCACCTTTGGCTAGCAATCAGCTACAGCTGATCCTGGCCATGTGTCCATAGGAGAGATGCTTGGTGGGATCTGGAATAGAGGTTCCTCTGGTCACACAACATCCCTGCAGATCAGGATAGTATGTCGCTAGTACAGCAGGACAAGATAATTCCACCTGGAAAGGTTCTGCTAGCAGCCTGTCTGCCCCAGTGTTCTGCAGTTGACAGGTTGCACGGTGCTTAGTGGAGTGTTACTGGGCACATTCCTCCATGGTTGCTGTTGCTACCCAATGTCCTTTCATAACAAAGAGCTCAGTTATCCGCTGTATCCAAGCTTGGTCTGGTGCAGGGAGGAAGGAGGGAGCATCCTCAGGAAGTGAGCAGCAGCTCCACCATCCTGCATGCCTAGTCCCAGTGTAAGGTAGAGGTGCTGAGGAATAAGGTAGTTAATGACTTTATGCCAGTGGCGTTCCACTCTACCATGCCCCCTTCTTCCTCCCAGCCCATCTCCATCCCCCAATAGGACCTATTGGCCTCACATGCTCCTAGTGCTGGAGAGTCGGGGGAGGATGCAGCTGGTGCAGGTACTAAGTGGCCATATCAGCCGAAGAGTCTGTCCTAAAGCCTCCAGCTAAGGGAAGAGATTGGTCTGAGGACATGTGGAAGCTGTTTGAATGTAATGGGGTGGGGGAAGATGCATCTTGGTTCACTTGTTCAGCATGTTCCACTTTGTGGTGGGATGTCACGTCACTAAAAGGGGAAGCCAGCAGCATGCTTCCAGGGGAGGCTTTTGCTGGGCACCCAGACCCTGGAGAGGTAAGACGGCTGGCCCGTTGGAACTGAGACTGGTCTATGGTACGGTTCAAGAACTCAGCCTGGTCTCCGGTGCTGGCACTAATGCCCTAAAGGTCAGGGGAAGCACAGAAGCTACTGACAGACAGTGGAATGAGTGTTGGGCATGGGTGTAGGCTGTGGGTTAGAGCAGTGGTTCTCAACCAGGAGTCCAGGGCCCCCTGTGGGGCCTTGAACAGGTTTTAGGGGGTCTGCCAAGCAGGGCCAATGTTAGATTCACTGGGGCCCAGGGTGGAAAGCTGAAGCCCCGCTGCATGGGGCCGAAGCCGGGGGCCCTGAGCTCCACCACCGGGGGCTGAAGCCAAAGCCTGAGCAACTTAGCTTTGCGGGGACCCCTGTTGCGTGGGGCCCCAGGTAATTGCCATGCTTGCTACCTCCTAACACTGGTACTGGCTTTTATAAGCAGAAAACCAGTTGTTGTGGCACAGGTGGGTAGTGAAGTTTTTATAGCATGTTTGGGGGGGTCTCAGAAAGAAAAAAGTTGAGAACCCCTGGGTTAGAGGGTGGCTGGTGGGCACAATGGGAGATTAGTGAGGATAACACAATCCTGGCAAAGTGGTGGAGACAAAATTCAGCTAAGAATGAGTACCCTTGCAATTCTTGCTGTCCTTCAGAGTAGCATGGGAGGGTCAGAGGTGTAATAGGATGTGCCACTCACGGCTCAGCAATGCCGCCTCATGGCTCAGCTGGGGAATTAGCTCACCATAGTCTGTTCCATTGCCTCAGTCACTTGCTCTACAGGAGTGGTCCCCAAACTTTCTGTGGCAAAGAGCACATGCATGCCTTCAGAAGTGCGTGGTGGGCAGTGACGCTTCTTGGCGGCATTTCGGTGGCGACGCTTCTCCGGTGGCTTTACTCCTCGGCAGCATTTCAGTGGCCGCTTCTCTGCGGGAAACGCTCATCGGCAGCATTTCGGTGGCAGGTTCTCCAGCAGATGAGTTCCTCTCCTCTTTGTTCCTTGGTGCCAGTCCTGACGGCGGGTGCACATAAATGCCCCACGGGCACCACATTCAGGACCACTGATCTACAGCCTCTCTCTCACTTATCAGGAGCTGTAGCCTCTCTCCAGCCAAGTCACCATCATCCTCCCCTTCCAGGGCCTCATCAGTCTCTTCCCACAAAGTCTCAGACAGTCACCATCTCCACTCCCACAGCAGCTGGTAGGGGAACCAGGCCCACCCTCTGTGCCAGGTTCTAGTCCAGGGACCCTCAAACCAGCAGTCCAGGTCTGTGCTCTCTTGGACTTTACTGCTCCTTCCCTGGACGGCTTCCTGTGCTGCCTTTTCAGGCTCCTGCTCTCCCCCTTGTATCGGGGGTGCATCAGCAGACTCATCTCCCTGCCGCCTCTGGTGGCCTCAGCTTTGTAGAAGCCCCCACCCACTCCTGCCCAGGTGAGCTTCATTCTCAATTAGAATCCTTGGCAGTTAGCTCCCTCGCAGGTGCAGCCTATGGCTAATTGGCATCCCTTGCCACCATAACCCCTTCAATGGTGGTGTGGGGTCAACACGCCATCACAGGAAGGTTGTGTCATGTAGCTTGCGACCGGCTGCCCCGAGGGCATGATTTCTCTTACTAGCTTTGTACCCATGGGAAAGTCACTGGCTGGAGGCTGGTCTCCCACTCCTCCGTTCTCCTCCTCTATTTCCCCACTGCCTTACACACAGCACAGACCCTGCACCCGCAAGTGATCGCTTTAGTTACCAGAGGAATCACATACTGGTTAAGGAGAATACAGCTTTCTCGCTACCCTTGCTGCATCCTTTCTGCTTTGGCCCTGTAATGTCTGTGCCTTTCGTTTTTAACTGGCCTGCTGCTTTTGTGGCATAATTATCATCCCTAGACTACATGAAAGGACTCGACCAGCCAGTCTGCTCTTGCTTTACAGCATTACTAGCGGTTACCTGCACATGCTCTAGGGCTGTCTGTGCCAGGAGGTGAAGGGGGATGTCCTTCTCAGGAGGAGTTAGGGACGGACATGCATGCATGTATGCACCAGCCCTGCTGTATCCAGATGATTTGTGCACACCCACTCCCCTTGCCCCGTTGTGAAGGGGAATCCTGTTTCATTGCAGGCACTGGGAACATCACTGATGACATGGAAAAGCAGCTGCAGGCGAACAACATCCGAATTAGCATCCTGGAGGAAGAGAACTCGCGACTCAGGACCACACTAGCCAAAATGAAAGAGGCGGCCCAGCAAGGAGCGTTAAGGGTGAGTCTGACCCCAGCCACAGGTGGAGAGGGCACCTCTCAGTGCAAGGGGGGCCAGCTGCCATCAATAGACAGTTGGCAAGGCAGGCAGAATAGGGGGTCAGTGCAACAATGTGGTCCCTACTGGGCATGGAGGGTCTGTGACCCATCCCATGGCCCCTGGGACCTTGAAGCAGAGGGATTGGATGTCAGTCTCATGGTCTCTCTAGACTTTGGGGATGGGGGATTGTGGCTTATCCTGTACTCTCTCGAGACTGTACAAATGGGAGACTTAGGACACATCCCACTCCCAGTAGAGTTTAGGGCTGGGGAATAAGAGACCCGTCCTGTTTGGGTCTGGGGAATAGGAGATATGTCCCATGGCTCCTGGAGGCTGAGGAATAGACGATCCGCCCCGTGATCCCTGTGGGGGCTGAGGGACTACACCTCCACTGTTCTTGGGGGCTAGAACCTCAGGACTGTTTTCATACAACCTGTGCTCCAGGACTAATCCCAGTACCTCTGTTCTCTACAGCTGTAGGTTTAATGCTGCCTCCCTGTACTTCTCAGTGAGGCTTATATGCCCCATTCTGTTCCCCCTTGCGGCAATGCAGTCTAGTAACAAGAGCACAGTTGTAGAACCAGTAGGAGTCCGGGCTCTAATTTAAAACAGAAATGAGTGCAGACTGCTGGACTGTGCCAGAACTGCTGTGAGGCCTTGGGTAGACGTCACAGAACTTCCTTGCTTGACAGCTGGCTCAGCTGGAAAACGGGATCTAAAGAGCCACTGTGTTTGGACTGAGGTCTCCTGAAGAATAACCCAAGTCTGGAAATCTCTATTGTTACTTCCCCAGCATGGCCCTCGGCGGGAGCAAGGCTCTCCGCTGAGCATGGCACCTGTTCCAGAGAGCGACTTCTGTATTAATGTTCTTCACGTGGGCCTGCGGCCAATCCTGGGTTCTGCGATCACAGGGGGGCTCTGGGGTCCTTCCCTGTGGCCGATCCTGGGCTCTGCGATCACAGAGACAAACAGCAAGGAAAACCCATGTCTGGAGTGCAGCGAAGACACATACAGCGCCTGACCCAAAGCCCATGGGGGCAGGGGGATCTGTCCAGGCCTTTAGAGAAGCACTGCTGGGGGGCTTGTCCATTTGACTGAGCTTTAATTGTGATCTCCTTTGGAACTCACAAAAGTGAGGAATTAATATCACCCCTTGGGGCAGGGAGCAGTAAGACAGGAGCTGTTACTAGAACTGTAGAGAAAGCTAATGCTCTTCTCCTGCTCTTCCCATCCTGACCTCTCTGCCCAACTTTATTAGTACCCCCCAGTCACACCCTACAACAGCCCTTATTGCTGTACACTTGGCCCTCATCGTTACTTGCTTGTAAATCTTGGGTTAGAGATCCCCTTGTTGGAGCAGTGCAGGCCCAGGACAGTGCTACACCAATACAAATAAATAACACTACCAGGTTTGGCCAGACTGGGCCCCTCCCAGTAATTGCACATAGGACGGTCACCCCTCTCATTTAAGCCCTCCCACTTTTCAACTCAAACCTGAGCCCTATTCCTGGGAAAGGCTACTGCAACCAGATGATGGAGTTGCATGTTAGTCAAGCCTAGTGATTAAGGGTTCCTTAGCTCGATTACCAGGGCAGAAGAATATTAATGTAAGATATTTTCTAGCAAGATATTTTCTGCTTCTCTGCTGCTCTCCGAGCCTGTGCCATCCCTCAGGCCACAGTTGCATTATGTGTTGTGTAGAGTGCCTCCTTGAGGAGGGGTTGGTTTAACATTCTCGTTAAAAGAACAACCACTAAGCTGAAGGCATGAGACTCAGCGGGCCTGACTCACCCTTGGCTTGCACCTTACGCTGTCACTTTCACCAGTGCCAAATGCTACCAGAGTGGGAGCATTTCACACCCATTTGCAGTGGATAAGGAGCAAGGCAGTGGGGAGGTAGGTACAGCATGTTTGAAGAGGTGACAAGCTCTGCAATGGTAGCACCCTGCTCCTAGCGCACCACTGCTGGGAGATGCTCACAGCTGCTAAGAATTAAGTCCTAGCTGAAAGAAAAGCGTGGGCCTTTTGGAGCTTCTTCCTGGAGATGAGCCCAGCACAACAGCTGTGGGGAGGCTCTGGGGTTCAGTCATGGGCCACAGCAGTCAGGCTCGGGGCTTGCTGAAAGGAACATGAAGGTCATGCCTACACTTCAGCAGCTACAGCGGTACAGCTACAGCATGGCAGTTCTGCCACTGTCGCATAGAAGCTTCCTATGTCGCCAGAAGGAGCTTTTCCGTTGAGGTAATTAAGACATCTCTCCAAGAGGCAGTAGCTAGGTCAATGGAAGAATTTTTCCATTGACCTAGCTGCATTGGCCTAATTTTGTGCACAGAGTGCAAAATTTTTCACAGCCCTGAGTGCTGTAGCTAGGTCGATCTAATTTTAGGTGTAGCCCAGGCCCAAGTTGGCAGCAGGTCAGGGTGTGAATCTACCTCGCCCTAGCCTGCTGCGCACAAACTCCATAGTCCATTTTGATCTCTCTTGCACGGAAACAGGAGTGAATCAGAGCTCTCTGTGGAACAGTTAGTCCAGAGCAGCAGGGTGCACATGGGCGCTCAGTGCATGGTGGGCTAATGCAAGGGAGATTGACACCAGGCTTGCTGCGAACTTGGTTTGTGTAGACAAGAATAACAGTAAAGGTCTAGTCTTGAGACCAGTTTCCATCTAGTGTCCAGACAGCGTCTCTTGCACTGGTCCCACCCTGCTGGGGTGACCCAGCAGAATTAGCCCCACGTCTCTGGACCAGTGAAGCACAGGCCTTGGGCTGGCCCTCTACACAAGGCCGAGTTTCAGTCATCTCGTCAGCTCAAGGCCCTTTCCACGATGGCCCAGCCCATTCTGATCATCGAACAGGAGCATTCAAAGCCACGGCCTCCAGCTGGGAGCAGACTAAGCCCAGAATGGAGTGGTTTCTCACCAGAGAGATGGTAGGAGAGACTTTCCCCACACCCTGGAGCTCCTTGGGCCCAGAGCAAGGAAAGCACTTGACACTAGATAACAAAGGCACCCACAAGCACTGGAGACCTTTGGGGCCTAGATGCCACCCATCCAGTTCTGAGTCAGTCCCCGACAGACACCAGCCATGATAGCGCCATGAACGAGGTGCACGATGGGGAGGAATATTCTTTCTGATGCATCCCAGCCATGGCTTCCTGTGGATGCAGGGGGAGCTCCCAGCATCAAGCAGTGACCAGGGAGGTTCTAACCCCGAGTTCTCCTCTCCCCAGTTCATCCCACAGACCCAGCTCTGGGCTCACTCCTCCTCCAGGACTGGCTCCAAGGACGGCATGATGGACCTCCACAAGGCTTCCACAGGGTGAGCAGGCCTGCTCTAAACCTCCCCCCCCTCGACTCCCAGCAAGGAGCTGCAGGGCTTGGTTTGCATGGAGACTTTACGTGGCAGGAATGGTGTCCCTAGCCAGTGGCGTAGCCAGGTAGAGAAAACGGAGAGCAGAGATTAAAAAAAAAAAGGAGCCACCCGCTTGTACTCACCCGGCGGTGCTCCGGGTCTTCAGCGTCAGGTCCTTCACTCACTCCGGGTCTTCGGGGGGGGGGGGGGGGTGTCCTTCAGTGCCACCGAAGACCCGGAGCGAGTGAAGGACCCGACGCCAAAGACCCGGAGCGCCGCCGGGTGAGTACAAGTGGGTGCTGCTGAAGACCCGGAGCGCCGTCTGACCCGCCCCTGAAGACCTGGATTGCCGCTGCGTGAGTAAAAATTAAAAAGGCACCAAAAAATTAAAAAGGCACCACCTCTGCTCGGTGGGAAAGCGGCCACTGCCCCGCTCCCCACCAGCTACACTGCTGTCCCTAGCCTCTGTTTGGCAGAAGCTGGGAACGAGCAACAGGGGAGGGATCATTTGATGATTGCCTGTTCTGTTCATTCCCTCTGGGGCATCTGGCATGGACCACTGTCGGAAGACAGGATACTGGGCTAGATGGAACTTTGGTCTGACCCAGTAGGGCTGTTCTTATGTTTTTATGAGACTTTCCCTGCCTCAGGGGCTGCATCTCTAATGCCTTGTCCTACATCTCCTACAGCAACCCTAACCTCGCACACAGACCTCCAAGCAGTACAGTACCCCACCGGCTTGCGAGTGGCCAAGCCAGCAGCCAGAGCATGGCCCTCCAGAGACCGCCAAGCAACCTGCCAAAGCCATCCTCTGCAGAGGCCACGTGGAAGGCAATGTCCTGCGTCTCCCTTCCAGCCAAGAACTCAGCCATCAGCATTTATGCCAGACTGAAAGGGAAAGGCAGCACAGCCAGAGTCCAGGGCCTCTCAGCTCACAGCCCGAGGAATCACCGGAAATAGAACCCCAGGAGAGCAACCCCTGCTGGAGGTGTTCAGCCAAGGACACAAATAAAGCCATTTACTGTTCTTCCCCAAGGCTCCCTCCGAGTGCAGGGCTACTGTCTGTGACAGTGACAGAGCTGCAAAAGGGCTGTGCCACATGGGAGCCCAGGGCTTCTCTGCCACTCGCCTGTTCCCTAACTGGGATGGGCCACCTGCTGGAGTTAGGGCAGTCAGCTTGTGGGGGACACCACGCCTTGCAAACAGCATCTCCTTTGGTGGAGGAAGGAGCATTGGCAGCTCCACAAGGAAAACTAGCCGGACCTCCCGGAGCAGCAGGATGGCTGCTGTGAGGGAGGCTGCCCAGGAAGAGGTGGGAAGGATGCAAGGACTGAGGGATCCTCTCAGGGATCCAGAGGATCTCATGAAGACAGAACCCATACAAAAGGCTGTATGCTTTCCCACCTTCCAGCAGGAGACATCTTCCATTCCCACATAGGAACTGCCCCATTTTGTACAGACACAAGAGGGACTTTTCTTCCTCCTTAGGGAGCTAGGAATCAAGAGCTCCATCACAGCCTGGATCATACCCCCCCTCCTGTGGTTTAACATCTAGCACTTGCTGCAAACCCCTGCCACATCCTGGTTGGGTTTTGACAGCATGTTGTGCTGCAAGGGCAGGAGGAAACAGCAGGGAGTTGAGTTTCAGTAAAAGATTCAAGAGTTAAGACTTTTAACCAGTAAGATTGCAGTTGGCAAATGACTGCAAGAAAAGGGGTGGGGAGAACAGGAAGGACTGTATTGAGTGACTGCTATATAACAATTCCAGTGGGCATTGACAGCATACACTGTTCTGTTCCTTTTCAATGGCTCTGTTACAAGTTAGGCTCCAAGAAGTTAGACATGAAAGACTAGCTTAGATCAGACTGTCCTTGCCCCTGCAGGGAAAGGGCATGGTTCCCAGAGAGAGGACAGTGCTGTTAATAAACTAGTATTTTACATTTAAGCTTAGCCATTCCTTAAAGAGCCTCTGACAATTACTTCATTATACTTCCCACCACCTAATTTATGCTGGTCAACACCCTCTTAAGAAATTGCATGTGCAATTTCTCCTCCCACCTTTATCCCGCAATACTGTTTGTCCAAGGGCTTTTAAAGCAAAGGCTGACATGCCTCCTTGATCTGGATAACAGCACAGATTAGCAGCAGGGAGAACTCTGTGCGTCTGCAGGGAGCATGTGCCTGTTTCATATCTCACACCATAGCACCAATTTACTGGACTGAGGGAGACTAAGTGTCATTGGAACCCACAATAAGACTCATCAGCAGTAGAGACGCGTAAAAACTGAACCAAATCGAGGCTCAGCAGATGTTCATTAACTTCAGTCTAGAGGACTAAGCCCATGCCACTGCATTCTATACTACATCCCACACTCCCCAGCTTAAGTCATGGCATGCACCCTGTGGAAAACTAGAGGACCCAGCATGCAGTGGGCTTCTGGTGGAATTCTCTGCACTATACTAGGCAGAAGACAGCCTAGATGATCCTAACGGTCCCTTCTGACCTTGAAATCCATGATCCTTCATCAGACTAGCCAGGCTGCATTGCATGCAGGTTCCTGTAGTCCTCACCAATGTGGCCCTTGGGTAGGTATATTTGCACATCCAGATGAAGCTGGGGGAGGCAAAGGGAGCTGGCTATGTGCCCAAAGGTTTGCTCTAGGAGAGAGGCATGGGCTAGCAGCCTAAGCATAGGACTGGGAGTCAGGGCCTCTTGAGCTCTGTTAACACCTTGGCCACATCCATCCTCTGGCAAGTTACTGGACTGCTGTGTCCAACCTGGAGATCAGAGCCTCTTGAGCTCTGCTAACACCTTGGCCACATCCGTCCTCTGGCAAGTTACTGGACTGCTGTGTCCAACCTGGAGATCAGAGCCTCTTGAGCTCTGCTAACACCTTGGCCACATCCATCCTCTGGCAAGTTACTGGACTGCTGTGTCCAACCTGGAGATCAGCTTATCCCTGTGCTGTGAGCAAAGACTACTGTCTGGTATATACCATGCCCTAGTATTTTTCTGGCCCCTGAACCTGCAGCCAGGCAGTAACCAGGGCACCGCCTTGAACTCACAGCAAGGATCAAGCCAGGCTCTTTTCCATGATACACGCCCCTTTCAGCTTCTCTGCTATCTTGGGAGGGACCCTTTCTAAATGGCAGCTGGAGACTAGGAGAGAAAGGGGCTTGCTAGCCAGGCAGAGGAAAACTGAACCCATGCAGGGAGCAGGAGGGGGAATCAGTGCTGGATTGTTCCGTAAAAGAAACAGCAACAAGAGCAGTGCAGGTTTCTCCTTGCTCTAGATTTAATAGCGCAGGCAGCTTTACAGACAGGTACAGTGCATCGAATCCAGCAACCTCTGGCTGCTGAGTGGGGCTGGGAGCCAGCCAGGACTCCCAGCAAAGGGCTGGACACTGCAACACATCCACAGATATTGTTCTGCCCCTGCAGCTACCTCATGCCATTCTCTCTAATAAATTAGTATAAATAAAGCAAGCATTCAAACCCTCCCCACTTCCTGCCCCTGCCCTCCAGCAAGGTGATCTCCCAAGGGCCAGTGAGAAGGGAAGCACATCAAAACATGGCAGATCAATGCAGCTACCAGGCCCACTCCCCTGCTCCAGGTGTGGGCCAACACCCTGTGAGGGATGAGAGGGGCTCAGTGTTGCCTTTGGCGACACCCAGCCCACCCTGCTGAGATAGCCAAGGAGTAACTGAGAGCTGAGCCAGCCCAGGGGCTCCTAGCAGCAGCCATGGGAGTATAGAAAATAGAGATTTATAAAAGGAGAGAGTAAGTCCCTTAAGAGCACTGGGCGGGGGCAGACTAGCCTGCCCCAGGGAGCACAGGGAAATCAGCTTACAGCAAAGTGCTTGCACCAGCCTCTCCTATGGTAGCTGAAGCTTCCCCACTAACCCTTTAAGACTTTGCCTAAGAAGTCTGGCATCCCCTCCTTATTCCCCTGAGCGGGTCTCAGGTGCCTCCTTAGCTTATTTTACCAGCCCCCACAACCCCTACCCCTCCAAAGACGCTACACTAATATCGACAGATCAGCTGCCCAGATGCACCCCCACCCCCTACACACATACTCAGAGGCAAAGTTCTGCCCTCCCTAGTCTCAGGGGGCTTGCATGGATTTAAGACAGCGCACAATTTGACCACATCCATCCCTACACTGACCCTGCCTTCTACCCCTGCCAAACAAGGCTGTCTGAGTGCACTCTAAAGGGAGCAGAACCTTTTCCCCACCCCAGTGCTCAGGTTCCCACTCTCAGTTGCCTGGGGATAACTGCTGAGCTGAGCACGCGGCCCTGGGGGTCTGCCCAGCCCTGGGGACACATGCACAGTGCTGCTGCTTCCCCCTGCTCAGCCACTTGCTCTGCTGATGGAGCCACACTCCTGGTGTCCCCAGCCCCCTCCAACAGGCACCCCCCAGCCCCTGGAGTGTAGGTGGCTCTGTCCCCGCACCATGTCCATAGGCCAGCTAGCTCTCACCGCAGCAGTTACCTGGAAGGGAGATCAAGAGGGGTGTCACTGGAGGGTCAGTAACCCCTTCACTGCCAATGAGCTCTCCCTAGGGAAAACAGGGCGAGAAGCTGCCACGGGATTCTAAACCCAAGGATGCAGTTATTGTGTACTTAACACATCTTCCCAGAGCCCCCCCCAGACATTGCACCCCTCCCCCAGAGCCCACATCCCCCAAACCTCCCAGACCCCCTACTGCAAGCATGCTGAGATCACCAAGGTGGGGCCTGGGGAGGCAATGGCTGGGAGACCTGGTCTCATATTTAGGCCACAATGTGTGGACAGCCTGTTACCCAGCTATGAGGCTCATTTATTAGGTCTGTCCCATTTCTGCATGTCATGGGGGAGAGCGGGCATCAAAGGAATCCACAGCCAGGGCAGGAGCTTGCAGGGCTTTGCCCACATCACAGTGAGAGGCCTGAAGCCTCAGGGCCAGCACAGGCAGCTGTACAGGGGGCCACCCTCCAATTCCACCCTCCGCTCTCACCCAGTATGTTGTGCTTGCACAAAGGGCAGGTCTGCTGCAGGAGCAGCCATGGATCCACGCAGTCCCGGTGAAACTCGTGTGAACACGGCAGCACCCGCAAACACTGTGGGCAGAAGGCGAAGCAATGAACGTCCGGGACAAATACATGCATCACAGCAGCCATCTTAGCACCCTGCCTCGGAGATGTGTCAGGCCAAAGCAGGGAGCCAGGTAGCCCAGTATCTGCCTTCCTGCTGCAGTGGGATGCACTGATAGGCCAGCTGGGGAGAGTGGAGTCCCCTGCGTGTCCAAATGGCCATGGGAAGACATCTGACCACCATACAAGTATCTGAAAAGGGCAGGCACAGCAGAGCTGCTGGCAGTCTGCTAAGTGAGGGCAGAGGCTGGGGACTGCTCCAGACAGGAAGCACTGGGATGGAGCTGAACATAGGTGGGAACTCTTGTGCCTAGAGAGAATCCATACCCAGGTTCTCCCATGGTTTAGGGGCAATAGCTTTAACTGGCCTGTGACTTTTCAGCCCAGGTTCTGCCACTGGCTAGCAGGCTTCTCGCAGACCTCCTGTGTCTGTCCCTAGCACCAGTCTGGTAAGGCTGGTGCACAAGGCATTGGTCCCAAGACCCCAGCACGTCTTGCCCCAGCCAGGCTCTACCTGGTTCTTGTGGAACTGGTCCAAGCAAACAGCACAGCTATCAATGTCATGGGCCTGGCTCCAGTGGTGTTTGCCAGGGTGATAGCGCCGGGTCTTCAGTGCCGACAGCCTCCGCAGGATGTGCTGCTTGAGGTCCAGCTGGGAAGGCAGAGCACACAGTCAGTTCCCAGCCGCACGTCCCCAACAGGAGAGGAGAGGAGAGGAGCAGCGAGCCCACCTCGGTGTCCTGGTCCGGCTGGCCCTGCCGGGACTGCCGCTGGGCCTGCACGATCACACCCGTGCACAGGATCAGGGCGATGAACAGGATGGCGTTCCACAGCTGCTGGAGGTACTTCTGCGGGGCCAGCACACAGGAGCCATTAGCACACGCCTGGGACTCCATTCTCCCCAGCTCAGCTGCAGCACCCCCCAGCGAACCCCACCTGCATCTCAGCCAAGGACAGGATGGGATCCTCTTTGGTACTGTTGGTGCTCTCTGAAACTGTAGCTCAGGAAAGCTTATGCTCTAATAAATTGGTTAGTCTCTAAGGTGCCACAAGTCCTCCTTTTCTTTTTGCGAATACAGACTAACACAGTTGCTACTCTGAAACCTGTCGTTGTGGAGCCCCAGGGACACCCTTCAGCCAGTAGCAACACAAACCTGGACCCGCGAGCTGTTCTCGCCCGTGCAGATAACTCCTTGCCACTCTCCATACAGCCCACCCCGGGACAGGCCGCAGGTTGACCACAGGGTGAGAGTCACTCCCTGCAGAGGAAACACAGCACCATGCATCAGCCAGTGATAGGGCAGGGCAACACCAACACATGGAGGCAACAGTGAGACCATGCAGGGGCAACAAGAGATAGCAGCGCAAGATGGCACTGGGAACAGGCCATACACAGACAGCACCATGTCACAGAGCAAGGAGGGCAGGATCCTGCTCTAAGTGGCTTGCCTGGCATCTGATCACCTCAATGGGCACTGCTTTACCAGACAGATCCTGACAAAGCAAAGGGACCCTGGAGGAGAGCAGTGAAAGCGGACGAGTTAGGAGGGAGTCTATGTCTGTCTATAACATGGCTAAGTGACAACAGGACATGAGTCTGCAGTTAGTTAGGGGCTCCCTAGGGAACAGAAAGCAGGGTAACGGGGTGAAGTTAAGGGAAACTTGGTGTTGAGATGGAAGGAAGGACGGTCTAGTGGGTAAGGCACTGACCAAGGATTCAGGAGACATACGTTCAATTCCCCATTCAACCCCAGGCTCTGTGACCTGGGGTAAGTCATTCAAGTGATAGTGCCTCAGTTTCCCCATCTGTAAAATGGAGATAGTGTTTCCCTATCTCTGAGGATAAATACATTCAGGAACGTGGAACCCCGATAAACTGGGTATCGAGGTGTCTCTGGCTGTGGAATCAGCTCCCAAGGGAAAGGGCAGAAGGCCAGCCGGGCCAGGCCATTTCACACTGGGCTGGAGAAAGCACAAGGCCAGGATGCTATGATCACACACACATTCCCCAGTCTGAGCTTCAGAGAGCACCAGCATGCACCCAGCCCAGCCCTGAGCATGCACGCACGCCGTCCCCTCCCTGCTGGGACTACGTACCAGGTTCTCCAGCAACACCGCTTGATACGTGATCTTGGCTGTCACCCGGAGCCCCCTGTTAGCAAAAGTTGAAAACAGTGTTAGCCCTGCAGGTTCCCTAGGCACAGGCATCTCCGTCATGCCGCCATGAGGGGAGCTCAACTTTCTGTGGGGTAGGGGATCTCAGCCCACAATCTCATCCTGCTACCTCGGCTGCAGCTGAGTACCCCAGGAATGCCCCCTAGCCTGCCTCTCCTGTAGAGGATGGCTTGTGAGCCTGGGTCACAGGATGGCACAAAAGCCCGCAGGAAGCCATGGAACCCACATAGGAAATAATGGGGAGCCCAAGACACACACATGGAGGGTGGTCATCCCAATGCCCACAGAGGGCAAAAGGGAGGCAGTAAGAGAATGGAGTGCTGGGACTGACTCCTTGAGTGACCTTGGGCAAGTGTTCGGCAGCGCAAGGATGCTGGTGGCCAGTACAGCAGCAGGCGGGCAAGAAAAAGAAATACAACCCGTGCTTCCCACCAGTGAGTGCGAGCCTGATCCCCGCTGTTGGTGCCAGGCCTCCCACTAACCCCCCAGGCACCCCTACCCCCACCCCCCTGGGCTAGCCTAGTGCCCCCCGCGTGACTCACGCACACTGAAGCGCAGGGCCCCCCAGAGCGCGGTGCCCGGAGAGGTCACCCTGATTCGCCATACCCAAGGGACAGCTCTGAGAATGACACACGTGAATGGGAGGACAATGCAGCCCAGATAGCACCACACACAGGCCGGCAGGGCCCTCAGGGGGGCAGAGGAGAACACACAGAGCCCTGGCTGGGTCCCAGGGTAGCATGTGCATATCTGCACAGGTAGTGCGGGGCTAAGGCTCACCCCCCGACACTTTTCTGGAGCTCAGGGTAACGCGTGTGCACACGCACACACACGCACTACAAGGGCTAAAGATCACACACACAGCACTTGCTGAAGCCCTTGACAGGGCTTGTGCACGCACACACACACACCGCTGCAAGGCCTCGACACTCTCCAGCTGCCCCCACCGATCCCTGCCGGCGGTCTCTTACCGTAGCAGAGCCCCGAGAAGCCGGGTGACATTGTCTGAGGTCTGGATCACAATCACGGGCTTGGAGAGCACCTCGGACACATCCAACTGCAGCAGGGAGGAAAGCGACAGACATGTCAGCAAGGCCATGGAGCCAGCTAGGCTGCAGCACTGAGCCCCCAAGACAGGTCACGGGGAGCCAGCGTGACGCTCCTACCTCTCGGATCGTGTTCTGATTCAGTGCGAGAATGAGCAGGGCCGATGCTCCCAGAACTAGGGCTCGCTTCATCTGTGGGGGGAGAGGGCACAGGGCCAGGGAGAGACAAGAGTTGCACACGCTATCAACCACACACAAACATGGAGGCCAAGGGAAGGAGACAGGAGGCTTGGCCCAGCAGCCTCAGGACAGGGTGGGTGGGCAACTGAGCCATTCCTCCCCCTTCCCCTCCCCCACCCACCCCCGAAGGTGGTCACCCTCTGACTCAGGCTCAGTGAGCCAACCTGTGGTGATAAGAGGGGTCCTGGTCTCCAGCCCGCTGCTGGCGTTCCAGGAAGTCACTCCAAGACAGGAGTAGCCTGGCTCCAGTTTGCCCTCGCTGAGCGGCTGCAAAGATCCTCTGCTTCCAGGCAGAGTCCTAGGGAGCACGGGACTGACTGGATAAAAGGGTTGCCTCTGCCAGAGTCCCTGGGGCACAGTGCAGGTCCCAAGGGGCACTGTCATAAGGAGCACGCGGTGCTGGAGACCCTGGCATGCACAAAGGGGCCCCATGGGGAGGAAATCCCCCTGCCAGACTCCGCGCTGGGGACCCAGGGGGCCATGCCATGGAGAAGCTCCTGCTGCCGCTCTCCCAGTGGGCACGGCTGTGGCCAAGGACGGCCCACGGAGGCAGCGCTGGTTCACCTTGTTGA